TTTAAAGGCTGAAAAATCTTGAAGTCTGTATAAAATTGGAGGTAGTTTGAGGATTTAATTTTTTATGCTTTCTAAGCTAAAAAAAAAGGGGAGGTCGTATTATACATGAGATTGTATTATACATGAATAAATATGGTAGTCTAAATTCCTTAAATTACTACTAATTCCCTGCAAGTAATGTAAGGTTTGTTTTTGTCATACTGTATAAACATTTGAAAATATATCAGCACATTGACTTTATACACATATACAGATAACAGAGCAATAAGGTTTACATTTGAGGTAGAAATATCATCCAGATCTCATGCATCATGTCTAAGTTATGAAAATCAAGAGGAAAAACTTTTCTTTGACCCCAATTAGCCCACTTGTGTGACTGTTAATTTATAGCATTTGAAGCTGAAAAGATGAATTGTGTTCCAGCTGTTGCCACAGTCCTAACACCAGCCACACCAGCTGTGAGTGATCTCTTGCCATTTTTCTATGGGCGTTAATCTGTGTGGGAGAAAATGGCAGACACTGAGCAGTTTAGCTTCAGCGCGCTGCAGTGTTGTCTAATGAGATGATTTCTCATTAGTACTGACTCTAAGTGTGCTCTGCTGCCTTGGATCTAAGTTTTGAATAAGTGTACATGGCTAGTAGAGAATTTGCTGAATAACAAAATGTATTTTATATGGTTATCTGAAATTAAACTAGTTATCCAGCTGAGTAATGTTTGTTTTTTCCAAACTTTTTTTATAATCAATAGTCCTTGTGTTTGTCTTTGTGTCTTTCCAATAAGCTAAATGGTTAGCAAAGGCCTGGGAGCAAAGTGTTGTCGCTGGGAAATAGAGGGCTGAGAGGGTTTTGGTGTTTAAAAAGCCTGACAGCGTTTCCCACTCGAGAGAAATATGTTAACTCAGGAGCTGACAATAATAATCAGAGTTACTCTGAGGTCAGGTTTTTCTCTTTAGTTGAGCTACACAGTTTCACTTCGCTTTAAGTCTTTGGGTTAACTTGGATTAACCATGTTCTGCACATCGAGCACTTGTTTGGCCATTTTCAGAATACTCTAATGTCAAATTTACAGATGTGCAGAAGCATTAAAAGCAGAGATGTCAGGCGGAAACAAAATTACCAAGCTGTAGTGTTATTATGGCTTTCTGATTTATTTTTATACCTTTAAATTCTTGGGTTAGTGTCATCTTAGTTTTCACTGCCATGGTTCATTGTTGGTACAATTCCCAGAAAGTAAAATATGAGTGATCAACATCAAAATACAGTTCAGCATGATATTGAATTCATGTTCAAATTATACAAAAAGTGGTCGGTGACTTGTTGAGATAATGTTAGGTTTTCATCGATAACTGATACTATATCAATGTTGCTTCGATTAGACATTGGCATTTAAATAATWCAAATTCAACCATGAAACAACATTGATTCAATAACATCTTTTCAACATTGATTATTTGGTTAGAATTGGATGATTGTTTGATGGTTGCTTCGCTATCAATCATCAACCTTTATCAAAACTCAACTTTTTTGACCATCAGTGGTGGGCAGCGCTTACCCAACAATTAGCTCCGCAATTTCTAAAGTGCTTATGAAATTATTTAGGTACGCAACTTCAAAAACACTTGTGTCGTAGAAACATTAGTGGAAGCTAATTTTAAAGTGCAAGTTCAATTTGACACTTACTAGCTGGCAACAATTCATATAGATGTACAACACTGCCAACTAGCGGTGTATGAACCCTTGTACAGCTAAATCC